GAGGATGATATATAAATACCTATAATGAAAGTATTTATATACCTTTTTATATACCTACCTGCTATGTAAATATTTGCCTATGTCAAACGTTGGAATTCTGTCATTTTTCCATTTCTTAACTTTCAGTCAACATAAATTAAACTCCCAATATAAGTATTTTTTATCCCAAATCAAAAAATAAGAAGATAGTAAAATCCATTTATTGTGATATAAAAACATTATTATTATCGTTCTAAATAAATGACCGCACGCCTATGATACGCCATGAAATTACAAAGGACGCGCCGACCAAAGGTTTTTATGCTATTTCAAGTGACTTCAGATAAAGTATACTTTTACTCGTGGAAGACAGACTAGCAGTGATACATAATGCCAATTTTATTACGGCATGTATGGCTATGACATAGGAATGGCATTTTCAGAAAGCATCATTTAACAAAAAAAAGCGCTGTATTTTTAATTCTCACTCCTGGCAGGGAAGATAATGTGAACTTTTTTGTTCTACAATTTTTGCTGTATCTCTATGTCAATACCGAGAAGTCGTAAGACATAAATTTATGGATGTCGAAGAAAGCTCTTGATAAAAGAAAACTCATAAACCCAGTAAAATCGTCAATATCTAGAGCTGTTATCTGATGAGGTAAGGTAATGAAAAGTTTCAAACCAAAAAATCCTCTAAAATTCTCCAAACAATTTGATGGAAAATATTTAAGTGTCTAGCGATCTTCCTCGTACTCGTTTCAGGATGTTCTTCGACTTGGTGCAGCACTGCTTGCTCAATTCCAGGTGTTCTCACACTTAGAGGTCTACCTTCAGATGTTCCTTTTCGGATAGAACCAGTTTCAACGAGACGACGATGAATATTAGAAAAGGTTCAACTATCTGGCAAAGCACGATCGGGATATCTCTGGTGATAAATCCGTCTGGCTTGCTCACCATTACCGTCGGCAAGGCCGTATACGTAATACATTTCCGCCATTACTGCATTTGAATAATTCACCATTATTAACAAGATTGTAAAAGCTAAATAATGAAAAAGATGTCTCAGCGAACAGATTTGTATAACAGAGACTTGTCAGATGTCAAAAGCCAGTGACATATTCCAGAGCAACTAGATATTTATTGCTAAATTGCTGTCTTCAATTATTACATTAATTTTCTCGGGCAATAGAACCGTTTTTATTTTTTACTCGAAAATGGCGCATCGAAGGACAGCAACTCAAGAGAGATCATTTGTTTTGAATTGAACGGGAAAGTCAGAAATAATTTTTATTTCGCAAAAAATCATTGGCGTGACATTTTTTCTTAAAAATTATTTTTGCATTGAGGGAACATTTTTGGACCATATTTTATAAAGCAAACTAACATTAATTTGTCTGTAGAGCAAAAACTCTACATATGTGGTTAATGACTCCATGCTAGGATAGCATATGTCACTTCACTATGAAAATATGCGTGGTAACTGGATAACAAGATTTGTTAAGATACATGATTTTTAAGATTACGAATTAAATAATTTTTGTTAATGATTTTCTAAAGTCCCAGTTTAAAGTAGCATTTATGTATACAGGGTGTCCCAGAAGTCGACGTCAAGCCGAAACCGGGTGATAGGCAAAGTCATAACAGCTATCAGAAAAATATTTAAAAAAAATTATGTATGTGTTTTGAAAATTATAGGTCTTTGAAAAAAATATAGAAATTTCACACCCTACGGCAGTCTGTCAACTCCTGTTACTACAAATATTAACTTTTTTTGGATTTTATTTTTACAATGTAATGATGAATAACGCATCTTCAAACTGGTGTCTCAACCTTACTGCCAACTTTTCTCGTTCAGGAAAAATTGCCACTTATTTCCCAACCAAGTATTCCAAAGTAAAACTTTGCTCAACTTTAACTGGCTGTACTGGAAAAAAATGTACTACGAGAGTTTGGCAAGTAACCTTAAAAGTTGGCGCATTTAATAAGGATTCCAAAATGGTATAACACTTAGAAGATTACTCGTTAACTTATGCACAATTTTTATTTGAAGAAAAACTGATGAAAACTTTTCAAAATTTCCTAATTAAACAGCGATTATGAAAACGCACAAGGACCCTTAAGGATAACTGTTTGCACAACAGTGGGCGTCAAAATGCTGCTGATGATGATTTACCTTTACAGCAAATACTCAAACTGTTTTCCTTCAGCCGCAATACACGCTCGACATCTTCTTAAAAAAAGATCGGGTTATTAAACGAGCGAATCCACGGTTATTAACAAACTCAGCTGCTTCCAATAGTCTTTGTTGTAGCTCAACTACATTTTGAATCGGCTTGAAATACACTTTTTCTTTTACAGTTCCCCAGTAAAAAAATCTAAAGGATACAAATCAGGTGATCGGGCTGGCCACGGTATTGTACCAGACCGCCTTATCCATCTGCCTGGAAAGTTTTGATCGAGATACTCTCTTACTGAGAGTGCATAGTGCGCTGGGCAGCCATCATGCTGAAACCACATGTCCCTGTAAATACTCTGTGGCACGTCCACCAATAAATTTTGTACATGTTTTTCAAAAATACCAAATAAACTTCAGCAGTCAAACTCAAACGGACCGATTATTTTACCATTTAAAATTCCTGTCCAATGGTTTATCTTGAAGCGATATTGAGATTTATCTTCTCTCATCAAATGTGGGTTTGCTACGTGCCACTCGTGTAAGTTATGCAGGTTCATGTACCCATCTTTCTTAAATGTGGTCTCATCCGACCATAAATTTTTTTTAAGGAACTGTGGATCTTTCCTGTGTCTTTCTAACATTGTGCGACAAAAAGCAACTCGGGGCTCATAATCCCGGGGCAGGAGAGGTTGAACACGCTGTATGTGGTATGGATGTAGCACATCACTTACTTGCTATTGCACACTTTGATACCGATCAGTACTCCTTCGTTTACTGCGCATCTTTACATGTTCGTGCTTGTTGATTTCGTACTGTTACTAATTTTGGATTCGTGAACTGGACTGTTGATCGCTTGTGATTTGGATTTGGACTGTTTAATTGCTCTTCAAAACAGCATTTGCTTTCCTTAGACTATCTTTGATAGTGTGATTGTGCAGTGCCGCTATGTCAGTGTACACCGTACAAGAATATGCTAACATGCACCTCATTTATGGGGAATGCAGATGCAACGCTAGTGCTGCAGCGAGACTTTACTGTGAGAGGTACCCGAATGCAGCTCGTCATCCAGATCATCGAGTGTTCACAAATGTGCACCGCTTACTGTTCTCAGAGGGCCAACTACCAAACCAATCACACGGTGAGAGAAGATCTTTCCTTCCTTACGAAGACGTGGTGTTAGGAGCTGTCGAAGAAGAACCGAGTATATCAGTGCGTGCAATAGAACTAAAAACAGGTGTGCCCAAAAGTACAGCCCATAGAATCTTGCAAAAAAACATGCTCCATCCATACCACGTACAGCGTGTTCAAGCTCTTCTGCCCCGGGATTATGAGCCCCGAGTTGCTTTTTGTCGCACAATGTTAGAAAGACACAGGGAAGATCCACGGATCTTTGAAAAAATTTTATGGTCAGATGAGACCACATTTAAGAAAGAAGGGTACATGAAGCTGCATAACTTACACGAGTGGCACGTAGCAAACCCACATTTGATGAGAGAAAATAAATCTCAATATCCCTTCAAGATAAACCATTGCACAGGAATTTTAAATGGTAAAATAATCGGTCGGTTTGAGTTCCCAGAGACTTTGACTGCTGAAGTTTATTTGGATTTTTGAAAAATCATGTACAAAATTTATTGGTGGACGTGCCACTGAGTATTTACAGGGACAGCGCACTATGCACTCTCAGTGAGAGAGTATCTCGATCAAAACTTTCCAGGCAGATGGATAAGGCGGTCTGGTACAATACCGTGGCCAGCCCGATCACCTGATTTGAATCCTTTAGATTTTTTTACTGGAGAACTGTAAAGAAAAAGTGTATTTCAAGCCGATTCAAAAGGTAGCTGAGCTACGGCAAAGACTATTGGAAGCAGCTGAGTTTGTTAATAACCGTGGATTCGCTCGTTTAATAACCCGATCTTTTTTAAGAAGATGTCAAGCGTGTATTGCGGCTGAAGGAAAAGAGTTTGAGCATTTGCTGTAAAGGTAAATCATCATCAGCAGCATTTTGACGCCCACTGTTGTGCAAACAGTTATCCTTAAGGGTCCTTGTGCTTTTCATAATCGCTGTTTAATTAGGAAATTTTGAAAAGTTTTCATCAGTTTTTCTTCAAATAAAAATTGTGCATAAGTTAACGAGTAATCTTCTAAGTGTTATACCATTTTGGAATCCTTATTAAATGCGCCAACTTTTAAGGTTACTTGCCAAACTCTCGTAGTATATTTTTTTCCAGTACAGCCAGTTAAAGTTGAGCAAAGTTTTACTTTGGAATATTTGGTTGGGAAATAAGTGGCAATTTTTCCTGAACGAGAAAAGTTGGCGGTAAGGTTGAGACACCAGTTTGAAGATGCATTATTCATCATTACATTGTAAAAATAAAATAAAAAAAGTTAATATTTGTAGTAACAGGAGTTGTCAGACTGCCGTAGGGTGTGAAATTTCTATATTTTTTTCAAAGACCTATAATTTTCAAAACACATACATAAAATTTTATTAAATATTTTTCTGATAGCTGTTATGACTTTTCCTATCACCCGGTTTCGGCTTGACGTCGACTTCTGGGACACCCTGTATACAATAAGCATAACAGAGGGCCGATGACAGAACCTTGTGGACCACCATCAAACACTGGGTCGATTGAGGATTTCCAGACATTAAAATTATCGCGATTGCAATGCTTCCCCGTCAGTAGGTGTTTTTCATCAGTCCCTTCGTCCGTTGTTCGCTGCTCGATGCACAAGAAGTAACAATGTCTGAAGAAACCGAATGCATCTTCGCCGATGACTCATCATCCGCTTTTTGTCCATATCCAGCCTCATTTTTAAAACGAAGAACCCGTTACGCAGGAGCAACAACTTTTGGTCCTTTTTGCCGGACAGCCGCTATCTGCTGAACGATGACACATCATGCAAACCGCGGTCGGTGGCTGGCGCGCTTTTCAGAATAAAATTAATAACACGCCGTTCTACGTACAACGTGTTCAGCTGTTCAGTTGTCAAACCGCGTCCGTCTGAGCAACAGTGTGTTGGATCGCGCATTGTTGTGATCGGATGTAAAGCTCGACGTTTCAAACGGATGAGCGTAAAACGTGACAGAAAAGCTTGGAATATATTGTATTTGTACACTTTTTCAATGAAGCAATCGACAGCTTTTAGTTCGATACAAGCGAATGTTATTGGAACGCTAAAATAAAAAGTTGACAAAGATGGGTGCTGCGTTTCGTGCAGTTTTGACTGTGATATTATTTCTTAAATGTAAGTATTTGTAAATTGAAAAACGTTTACCAATTTCCTAAAAACGTTTCATAGGTCGCTTAATACGATTGTCTTCTCCAGACAGTATGTAACGATTTATTTTTTTGCAATATTTTATTTAATTTGACCTGTTTGCATGTTAGTTGTGACAAATCTTCAAACTGAATTTTGAACCAATTAACTAACTACAGTATATTCAGATAAGAGATAGACCGGATGTAACAAAAGGTTCGGGTGATTTTCACGCTAACGCCGCCGTCTCGACGTAAAACAGGAGCCCTCATTGGTCAATTCGCAATTAAATGCCTATGCCGAGCGGCAGAGCAGTCGTATCAAGGCAGAGTCACATTCAGGTTCAGACGTGTTACGTATGTCGTGTGCATCATTGCAATTTGATATTTCTTTGGACGTTTTCGTTTGTTATCTTATTAAGTTGTTGAGTTTGTCGTTGTTATTGTTATACCTTGTTATTGATTGTTATTGTTATCAACTGCTTGCGCAAAATGCCCAGTAGTACAGATACTGCCGATGTAGTTGTAAACTCCTGTAGTCCACCTAGGAAACGCTCTAAAAAAGGACACCTGAGTGCAGAAATGAAAGAGGTCATTTTGAATATATATAAGATCGAGCGCGAGGAGAACGAGGCATCAACCATCAAAGAAATTGTTGTGAAGGTTTCTCACAAAGTTGGGGTGTGTCGCGCATCAGTGTTTAATGTGTTAAGACAATACAAAAAAATCACACCTTTTCTGAGCCAATGACCAGTAAACATCGCAAAAGTATTGTTAAATCATTGGATGAAGCGATAAGCATGCGATTAGGAGGAAAGTGCATGAATTCTTCTTTAGGAATGAAATACCTACTATAGATAAAGTACTGCAGGAGGTAAATGGAGATACAACGTTGCCAAATTTCAAACGATCAACTTTCCATGCGTTACTGAAGCATTTAAATTTCAAATGGAAAAAACGGGGTCGTAATAGTTTACTACTGGATAGAGAAGAAATTGTGCTATGGAGGAGGGATTATTTAACAAAAATTGGGAAATATAGAAATCAAAACAGGAAGATTTATTACCTTGATGAAACGTGGGTAAACGCAGGACACACTACAAGTAAAGTATGGGTTGATGATTCTGTAACTTCATCCAGGAGGGCCTTTCTAGATGGACTGTCCACCGGATTAAAAAATCCAGCGGGTAAATACGAGTAATAGACAACAATCGGATGTTTTTCCAACCTTGGGAACAAAGTTCTAAACATTAATTCCAGGGGGCAGATAAAACATATTACAAGTAACAAAACTTTTATAACTTTCGATAAAATGCGTGGATGTTTTATTGTCATTTTCATTTGTTAGAACTTTTTTAAGCCATGTTTTTATGTGTTTTCGATATTTCAATAATTTTTTAATATAATCTTAAAATATGTCGAATATTATAAACTTAAAAAAAGTTACTAAGTTTTATATTGTGTACCGTTCCTAATATTTCTAATCATTTTAATTCATACTTTAAGCTTTATAAAGTTATAATTTGTTAATATTAATATTTGCGCGTATTTCAGGTTCCTGATCATTCATTTTTTAAAGGTTTATAACTTTAAATTAAATTGTGAAGCGCTGAGTAATCATACGACGTTCAATATTCTTTCTTTCAATATGACTAAATAATCCCAATTATAGCAATCTGATACTCATGTCTCAATGTTTTTTCGCTGAATGTGATGAAAACATTTGAAAAAGGTTCGCTTATTGAAATAAATCTACACCAGTTAGTACTTCGATTTCCAGGTAAAGGGAAAAGGCTCATTATCTGCCATATTGGCAGTGAGGATGGATTTGTTGTTGACGGATCTGTGGTGCTTTGAGTCTAAGAAAACTGGAGATTACCACGAGGAAATGAATGGCGAATCGTTTGAACAGTGGTTTTCAAAAATTTTACCGAACTTAGAGGAAAACGCAGTAATTGTGTTGGATAATGCGCCTTATCATTCTCGAAGAATGGAGAAGGTCCCAACAACGGCTTCAAGGAAAGTTGATGTTCAAAATTGGCTCCGCTCGAAAAATATCAACTTTGAAGAAGCAATGCTGAAAGTACAATTATTAAGAATTGTCAAGGATCACAAGGCGGAATATCAAAAATACGCCATTGACGAAATGGCAGCAAGTCAAAATAAAAGTGTGCTCCGTTTACCTCCATACCATTGCGAGCTCAATCCCATTGAGCTCATATGGGCAGAGGTTAAAAATTATATAGCTAAGCACAATACAACTTTTAAATTTTGTGACCTCAAAGGACTTTTCAAAGAAGCACTAGAATTAATAACAGCGCAAAAATGGGAAAACTGTATTAAGCACGTGAAAGACAAAGTTGAAAAGAGAATGTGGGAACTGGACAATATTTTAGAGGAACAAGTCGAGCCATTCATTATTGACGTTGGTGCTTCAGGCAGTAGCGATGATGAAAGCTCATCAAGCTCATCTTTCTAATAAAAGATGTCGTTCATCAAATTCGGTAAGTTATAAGTAATTATAAAGCTACTGTATTTTTTAATTAATTATTGACATTTTTGAACCCATTTGGCAAAACCTATTCAAGAATATACTTTCTGACAATGTTCAACCATGCGCATTTTTTTACGTTTTGAACGTTTTAATTTGGTTACATATTTACCTAGAAATCAAAAATATACTAATCAATATTCTAAAAGCAATTTTAAGAGATATACGATTATTTTAATTTAGGCTAATTTAAACGCCATTTTGAGATTATATTCGACTGTATTTCACCAAACATCAGGCGGCATCCGAAGCTGGAAATCGAAGCGAAAATTTTAAAACCCTTATGTATATTTACATCATTATATATTTCTTACCCCACCCCCACATGATCCTATATCCATCACCAATCGTATACACATCGAATTGTGCTAATTTACTACAAAGTTACGCAAAGCAGCATCTACTATCTAAAATATGTACTGCGTGACTCTTAATACGTCCCTGCCGAATGTTACAGCGTTCGATGATCACGTGGTCTTGTTTATGTCCGGTCTATCTCTTATCTGAATATACTGTAATTGAACTAAAATTGTCTACACACGTTTGGTCTACGTTACAATAAAAAATGAATTAACTCTCGCCTAAGGATTCAGTGATGTTTATTGTGCAACCGTATATCCGCATTTGAAGTATTTGTCCTCTGCTGGGGTTGCTATGCAAATGCTCAGCGTGCATTAAAATTGCAAAAAAGGATTATAAGATTAATATTATCGTTGAGGCCTCTGCAGACTTAGTATGAAGTTTTACGTAGTCCTGTTAATAAAATGTATGGAATTTATATAGAAATTACAACTAGTTAAATGACATCATAAATAGTAAAAATATAAAAAATAAAATGAAAAAATATCCTTCTAAAAGCAAAATTTTACTTAGCTGGTTATAAAATGAGTGAAAACTATGAACACGATATTTCTCGATTAGAAATATTTAAACAATTATAAAGCTCCATGCCAATTTTTCAAATAAAAGAGTGTTACGTTTGACAGTAGGTTGGAACAAGGGTTTTTCTTATATGGGGGTGACTTTGAAGTTGAGTCATTAATTTTCAGATAATGATTGTAGAAGGAAGATAAACCAAAATACATATGTGTGTAAAAATAAAAAAAAATTACCTTGTTTTATAAAGTATCCTCCGACAAGTATTTCAGTGCGGACCTGTATTTGATCGCGAGGTCTAGGAGCACCGGCATGCCGTCTTAAGTCACCTGATTCACGAGCCCGTTGTACTACATTAACAAAGGCACGAGGGGTTGGTTGCACTCGATTGGGAAACCGATCCGCATAAACATGTGCCATTTTTTATTTCGTTTGAGCCACGCAACAGACACCACTATTCACTGACGCGTTACCGACTGACACTGACTGTATACAACTGAATAAAATAATTGTAAAAATATCGTTCCAAATTCTTTCGCTTTTTTGTTCCGATGCGATGAACCGATGGCGGATTATATCCGTTGTTGCCAAACACGAGCACATAATATTATCATTGAGACAGGGCGGTACTCAAACTTCCAAAGGGCTATTAACTTTGTTACTTTAATTTTACCAGAAAAATGGTAAAGGAAAAAAACATTTCTTTTGATCAGATCTACTCACTGTTAAAATAAATGACTCAACTTCGAAGTCACCCTGTATAGCTGTGCAGGCAGAAGCCTAAATGCCGGAACACCGCGGCTGCTATGCCAAAGAAATTTTGTTAATACGAAACACGCTTTGATCTGAAAACTTGAGATGAATTAAATATTTTAATTGAAAAAGAATGGTTTTAAATTTTTAGTTCGTTTTATCATCAGCTAAACTTGTTTTTAAATATGTATTTTTTATTCTATTTATATTATTGCAATTCGTTGAATAAAAATATGTTTTTCGCTATCCTCTGGGCATCCTAGGTTTTGGTCAGGATTATAAGATTAATATTATCGTTCAGCCATCTACTGACTTAGTATGAAGTTTTACGTAGTCCTGTTAATAAAATTTATAAACTTTATATAGAAATTTCAAAACTAGTTAAATAACATCATAAATAGTAAAACGTTAAAAAAATAAAATAAAAAATATCTTTCTAAAAACAAACTTTTACTTAGCTGATTATAAAATGAGTTAGATTAGAAATATTTAAACAATAATAAAGCTCCAGTCCAAATTTTAAAATAAAAGAGTGTTATGTTTTGACAGTAGGTTGGAACTAGGGTGAAACACGCTTTGATCTGAAAATATGAGATGAATTAAATATTAAAAACTAGTTTTAAATTTTTAGTTCGTTTTAGTATCAACTAAATAAAAACTTGTTTTTAAATATTTCGTCGCATAAAAAAATGTCTTTCGCTATCATCTGGGCATCCTAGGTTTTTGGTCAGCGCTTTGCGATCGAAACATTATATCGTTAATTAACTGTCATATATCTGAAAATCAACGTTAACGTTAACGTGACAACA